GAGAAGAAAAAATGAATTGGGTATGCAGGGTAAGGCCTTCTCCAGAATTCCTAACAACGCTGGAGGGGCTGGCATTGTGGCAGTGAGCAAGGCCTCCCCTTGCAATGCTGGCACCCCAGATGGGCACTGACTGGAGTCTCAGCTGTCCCACTTCCAACTCATCACCCTGCTGATGGCGTGGCGAAGCAGTGGAAGACAGCTCAAACGTGTGGGCCTTGCGACCCAACGTGACAGACAGCGAAGACAGGTTTCAGCCTGGCTGAGCCTCGGATGTTGCGGCCTTTTCGGGAACGAATCCGTTGATGGAAGATTGGACTCTTTCCCTCCCTTGCTCTGTGACTCTTTCAAATAAATCAATCTTTAAAAATAAATAAATAGGGCCCAGCGCGGTGGCGCAGTGGTTAAGGTCCTCACCTTGCACGCCCGGGATCCCATACGGGTGCCGGTTCTATCCCGGTGGCCCCGCTTCCCTTCCAGCTCCCTGCCTGTGGCCCGGGAAAGCAGTTGAGGACGGCCCAAAGCTTTGGGACCCTGCACCCGCGTGGGAGACCCGGAAGAGGCTCCTGGCTTCGGATCGGCATAGCATCGGCCATTGTGCTCACTTGGGGAGTGCATCATCAGACGGAAGATCTTCCTCTCTGTCTCTCCTCTCTGTATATCCGCCTTTCCAATAAAAAAAAAATAATAAAAAGAAATCTTTTAAAAATAAATAAATAAATAAATAAGGGCCTGGCACAACAGCAGTAAGCTCCTTCTGGGTCTTCCACGCAGATGCAGGGAGCTCTAAGTGGAGCAGCCAGGACTTGAATCGTGCCCACATGGGATGCCAGAGCTGCAGACAGAGGCTTAACCTGTGATGCCATGGCACTGGCCCAGCGAGTGGCACATCTTAACAGCATGAAAGAAATTAAGCGGGGATGACATATGAACATCTGGTCCTTACAAATCCAATGCCAAACCAACATTTCTATTTGGAATTATTTCCCTATGCAAAAACTTGCATTTGTAGGATGGCAGCCTAAAAAGTCACTGCCAAGATTTCTGGCTTTCCATCAAAGAGCCGACTCCTCCCACTGCCCCATTCCCAGGTGTCAGACAGCGCTAGGGAAGTCACGTTCGTGTCAAAGTGTCTCATTCCGAACAAGCCTCATCCCATCACAGTGTTCATGAAACTGGACTTCACACTCACGAAATGTTTCAAAGACACCGCCCCTCCCAGCCCAAGGTACTGGGGGTGAAAGGGAGTGTTTTATTGAAAGGAATGATTTGCTGTCCAAATCTTGGGGTCTATGGGACCACAACTTTGACCCCTCCCAAGGGGCGGGACCACTGAATCAGCCCGCAGGAGAAAGTAGAAAGCCAAGAGATGTGGCAACGCCTGAGCTAGGAGCACCAAGGCCTTTCAGCTGAAATGCTCCTTCTAGAACCTTCTAGAACCTCCACGGCTGGAAAGACTGGTTAGCTGAGAGTCGAGGGCCCTCGGTCACACCCACTCCTTCACTCCACCCTAAGAAGTCAGCATGCAAGCGTGATGCACATCAGCAGTTTCTTTCTTCCCAAGACATCTGAATCACCTGACCAACAATGAAACTGTGTCTGTATCCAAAGAAAAAAGCTACTGTTGAAAGTGCTTGTGTCTCACCCAGTGGATCTGGCCAACAATTAATCAGCTTAATGCAGAACCCTATTGTCTTTTATTCCCCTAAGCAGACGAAAATCCAACAAGAATATTACTCAATGAACACAATGGTTATGAAACAAATACTTGCCAGGAACACAACACATTAAAAATAAATAGAAAGTTGTGTTAGCAAATAGTTGACCAGCAAAACAGATGAATCTTAATAACAAAGACTTGATCTTTTCTTGGGTCCTGGGATGCGCTGGATTCAAATTCAGCTCAGCCACTCACCTTGCCCTTCCCTCACGCTCCCACGTGTCAAGTGACAAGGTTACTGGGAACTTGAACTCAGGTACATGGCATCCCTGGCACATCCCCGCCTGGCCCCTGGCACATCCCCGCCTGCCCCCTGGCACATCCCCGCCTGCCATTTGACAAGTAATGGTACTACTACTGACGAGAGAGCCGATATTTTTTACAAAATATATGAGCTAGCTAAATTCAGTAGGTGTTCCAATGCTACCCACCCTCGGCTGAGTTAACCTGAATCTTAACTTGAGTGGCTTGCCGGGAAAGTCCTTAGAACACGCAGGCTCTGAGTCACCAAGCCCGCGCCTGTTTACTCAGGCTCTACCTTGCCTCCCAGCTGAAGCTGCGGCTCCACCTGGGCGAGGCCCGCTCTCTCATCCCACTGCCACCTCCATGGACACTTTCATTACCTCCCTCCCCCGCGGGGGCAGGTGCCAGGGCTTCCTCGCACCCACACCTTCTGGAAGCCCCTCCTCCGTGGGCTTCAATGTAGGCCTCACGGCACACACGGTCTGCCTTCTGCGCTCACAGTGGCTCCTCAGCAAGCAGATCGCTGGCGCTTTTGCCCCCTGGAATGCTCGCCGCCGCCCACCCCTGTCTACCAACTAAACAAAGTCTAACTGAGCTTTCTTGCTATGGAAGGTCTGCCTAGCCCCCTCCTCTGGGCTCCTGTGGGAGGCAGCTGGCGCCTCTCCTGGCCCTGGCCCTTTCCCACGCCATCCTTGCGCACCTGTCTTCCTGGAACGCCTACTCCCCTGTGTGGGTCTCCCCAAATCACACAGTGCCAACAGCAGGTGCTCCAGCTCCACCTACGGAATTCAGAAGACTGTGGAGTCCCAGGCCTGTCCTACTTACAGGTCACACTGTGAAGGCACAGGGAGGACCCACGCAAGAGGCCCTGGGTTCTCACGCCAGGCTGGCGGGAGTGGACCCCGCTCCTGGGCATGTCTCAGCTTGCTAGGCAATCTGGTATGTGCGATCCTTTCTCCCACTCTCAAATTCACTGCAAAAACAGACCTGTTCGCTCACGCTAAGAAACAGTAAGTTAATAAAATAGACATCAAATAACGTCACCCCTACCAGTTTCAGTTCTGAAATCCTGACACCGAAGGAAAGGCTGCCGGAACACTCTGCAAGCACGTTATTTCTGAAGCGTAAGGACGGTGTGCTAAGCCTCCCATCGCCGGGTGACCGTGAAGGATCCGTGCGGCCTTGGTAAGGACGGCACCATGAACGTGAAATGCAATCACAACGATCCTGCTTCAGCTGAAAACCTAGAGTTTACATCTTCAAGCCCACGTTGCCAAGCAGGTACCATGGATCAATCATTAACAAAATACTAGCCGGAAGTTGTTAAATAACTTTGTCAGATTCCATCCAACCTTACTCAAAAACAAGACAAAAGCCAGGCAGGTGGCGAGGGGCGGGGTAACTGCCGCACCAGTGAGATGAAGGCTGCCCTTAAAATGTCAGTGGGGAGCAGACAGCCCGGAGAGGGAAGACTGGGCTCCAGAGCAGTTTATTTAAGGAAGGGCTGCATACAAGCACCCCAAAAGTCAACGCCACACAACTCCGCCAGCAAGGGTGGCAGCCTTTGAAATAAAACAGTCAAAATCCAGGCAGCGGCTTTCCTATCGGTGTGTGTGTGTGTGTGTGCGCGCGCACGCGCGCGCTTTCAAAAGTAAAAACAAAAACACCACTCACCTGTACTTGGAAAAACTTCTGGATCAGAAAAAACATTTAGGGTTGTGACCGCAGGACGCGGAGCAGAGGGGCCGGGGCTCCCGGGGCGGAGAAGCCACTCACGTGACAAGGTGAGTTCTGACAAGGGCCCCCTGCCCACAAAACTATGATGTAACCAGAAAAACAGGCCGCGCGGGCCGGACTCCCGCCCGGAGCCGCCAGGAGCTGGAAACACAGGGTCAGCACTTGCGGGCTGTGTGGCAGGCGGCAACACCCCTGCAGGACAGGGCGGGCAGGACACGGGGCAGGGCACTCCTGCGGGGAATGGCACACCTTGGGCACCCCCAGAGCCCCCCACACCGACAGCGAGCAAAGCCCCCCAAGCAGGCCGACCTCCCGCGGGGTCTGCCTCCCCTCGGGCAGGCGAATGTAAAAGCCGATAGTTGGATAATACAGACTTCACCTTGGAAACAGATGGGACGACTCCCTGAAAGAAACGTTTCCAAGGGGAATCTTAGTAAAACCTGCGTCGTGAACCAAGGAATCAGCTCGCAGAAATCTTCCTTCTGTACAAAAACTACGCGGCAGAGAAAGAGTTACGTGGGTGGATCAGGGTTAACAGATAAGCGACCCAGGCTAGCAGAAGTATGCTAAGCACTAAATGCTCACAAAAGCTACGGAAGGAACCTCGGGCCTGTGTGTAAAATCCCCACAGTTAAACTCAGCCTTTTCCCCGATCCAGGAAGTCTTGGAGAAAAAAAAAATCGATTTCAGGGATCGGTAATATAAAACAAATAAATACACAAACCAAACTTAAAACCCAAGTTTCTGATTCCTCGCGTTCGCTTGGCCTGTGTCCCCTGGAAATCCCCCGGGAATAGGTTTGTTCAACCAATGGGACAATTTTTTCCGATTGTAAATAAAAAGAAAGATTGAGACGAGCCGGATACAAACATGAGAAACTTGGTGAAAGCCAACCGCGCAGGAGTGTTTTCCAGCCGCTCCGCCCAGCCCCGGGCCTGGGCCATCAGGGTTGGCGGCTCGGGGGCCCCTTCTCCAAACAGCCCGGCGTGGGCAGGGGACCCCCGGGCTCCGGGACGCGCCCTCGCGAGCGCCGGGACGCGCCGGCGACCCCGCACGCACCCCGGGCTCCCGCGCGTCCTGCGCAGCCCCGCGTCCAGGCGCCCCGGGCCAGGCGCAGAGCCCGGCCGGAGAGACGCTGCGCGCAGCCCGGGGCGCAGAGCCCGGCCGGGCCCTCGGCTGACTGACTTCTGGGTGAGGGTCGAGCCCCGGCCCCTGGCGCCCGCGCGCAGCCTCGGAGGAGGCCCCGGCTGCCGCTGGCCCGCGGCCTGGCGCTCGGCGCCGACGGCGCGGGCCCGGTACCCACCCGTAGCCGTCGGAGTTCTGGTCCACCGTGCAGCGCCGCGAGTAGTACATCCTGCTCGTGCCCCCGCCGCCCCCGCCGCCCGTCACCTCGAAGCGCAGGTCCGGGCCGGACTCGGCGCGGGTCAGGCGGCCCAGCGTGTTGATCCGCGGGTGGGAGCCTCCGTTGACGCTCATGGCGACGGGCACTCGGGAAGGGGCGAGGCGCGAGGCGCGCGCCCGGCGGGCGCTCGGGCAGTCCCGGGAGGGCGGCCGGCAGGGCCGAGGGGTGCAGCGGGCGCGCTCGGGGCGGCCGCGGAGCGGGAGCTGCGGCGGGAGCTGCGGCTCGGAGGGCGGCGAGGGCGCAGAGGAGCCGGGGCGCGCCGGGGTGTCGGTGTTGGTCGGCGGGGCCGCGAGTCTCCTCCCCGCTGGCAGCCGGCGCCCGGGCCACACCTGGCCGGCTCGTCCCCGGGCGAGGGCGGGGTGCGGCCTGCCCGCCCCTCGGCCCGCCCTCCGCGCCCGCCGGGGGACGCCAGCAGGGCGCGGTGCCGCGACCCCGGGCGCGACTGCGAGCGCTCGCCCGGCGTGGGCCCCGAGCGCCGGCCCGGCCCTGGAGGATTGCTGTGGCCCCCGGGAGGAAGTCGCCTGGAGTGGAAGAGCCGCCCGCTTGCACACTCGCTCACTAAACGTGTACTTTGGCTCATCCCGGGAAGCGATAGCGACCAGCGGAGAAACAGGAGGACGCGGAGAGCCGGATGGGGTTGGTTTGGGGCTTTAAAAAAAATGCAGTAATCCAGGAAAGTGCTTCAGAAGTCTGACTTCTGACATATAACACCGATTTGTTTTAATACAAAGAACCACCGATTTCTACGAATCTCCCCATAACTGATGTCTTTGTCATGGAGATGAACAGGACACTACAGCCGACTTTTCGTAAGAGAATGAAACTTGAGGCTGCGACTTCCCGGCTCCTCCCAGCGGCTCCTGACCCCCAGAGCACTCCGGGTGCCTGTCGGTACCCATCTCTGGGGTGTCTTCTCCCTACCAGGGGACAGATAGCATCCCACTGGGCACAGAGGAAGGCTTGGCAGCCAGAACGTTCCAGCAACCTGTTCCAGGGCCACTCCCATTTAATGGCTGCGAGTGAACTAGCCAGAAGTGCCCTCCGACCGCGCGCGGGGATCCCACTGTGTCCCACCCCTGCTTCCGGTCACTTGCAGGCTGTCACATCAGCCTTCAGGGAGCACGAAGACCTTTCGGCATTTCTCTTCTGCTCCAATAAGGCCAGACAATTCGCCCTGAAACTGTAGATTCTCCTAAAGTATTGTTGAATCGAGGGGAAAAATACAAAAGAACCCTCCCCCCCCCAATCAAACTACATTTGCAGATTGTAAAGGATGTTGGTAGTTTTGTAAAGTTTGTCAGCCCTTGACCATGAAACACTATCTTGGACAAAATGTCCCTTTTCTTCACAGCTCAAATTCAAGGAGCTGGACAGCCAAGGTGAAAAGGTGACAGCACAACCACTGCTCCTGTCCCAGGCCTGTCCCGTTCTCCGACGTGCTCTGTGAAGGAGCCCAGGCCAGGCTGCGCAGAGCCACCTGGCTCCGAGACAGGGACGCTTCAATGGACAAGGCTCAGGGAGTCCTTAGCAGTGACTGTCACTTCTTAAAAGAGCAACACCGGTGAGGACAAAAGCCCCTCTCAGCCAGGGGGCACCTGGGAGAACCCACGTGGGGCAGTCGGGAACGCTGGGGCTCCCCACACACTCCACCCAGACTCCAAAGCTCCCTGCGGTTACGTGATGGGAAGAGGGAGAAACAGAGCCTGCCCCTCGGGCTCTTCTGCTAGTCACTGCTTCCTCAACTCCTGCAGCAGCTCCCCCCAAAGACCTGCCGCTCACCACCATGCAGACCTGCAGAGAGAGGCAGGTGAGAGATAAGACCAGCGAAACCCGTGGACGTGCGAGAACCCAGTCCTGCCCACCACGCTGGGGGGTCTGGGCTGGCTGGCGGTGCAGCGACCACCGTTCTGTTCCTGGTGCTGAAGCTTCCTCGGGCAACAGATGAGCTTTCTCACGTGCCAAGAGGAGATGATAGTGACGCTTGCTCTCCAACTCTCCAATGACCTAGAGAGTAGCAACTGAGACTGGGAAACGTGTCTTAGAGCTCACAGGTGTCGCCTGTGGGTCAAGGGCTTGTTGAATGAGCGCCTTTTTGCTTCGTGAGTCGCTATACCTTCATTGATTCACATTTGCTGGTTGGACTTGACTGGACATCCATCCGCACCAGGCATCTGCAGCTTTAGTGCAGGACACAGCGAGAGAATAAAGCCAGATATTGTTCCGTAGGTTATCAGATGGAACGAGACAGGAAACAAGCAGCCAGTCACAGCAGTGCGGCGTGAGCTGTGCGGTGTGAGCGTGGCGCGTGCAGAGCGGCTCCAGAGCGCGTGTCCTACAGCAAGCTTCCTCCACAGTCCCTCCACGTCTTCCTGCGCTGAGCCACGCAAGGGCAGCTATTTCTGCCCTGCCACTTATAGATACCGTGCTGGGACTGATAGCGACAGGTCACTGACGGGCAGCCTTCCCTTGGCCGACCTTGGAGACGACCTTGCAGTTGGGAAAGAGCCATTGCTCGTGTGCGGAGCGCATTTTTAAAGCTGCACAGAACACTTTGATTTCAGGGACAATCCCATTGGGGGGGTCCCCACATCTCATTGTTGGTGAATGATACCTCTTAGTCACAGGAAGAATTACAACCCTGAGTGAGCTAAGATAGCTTCCTGCCTGCCTTGGGAGGCATATCTTTTTTTTTTTTTAAAGATTTATTTGTTTTTATTTGAAAGACAGACTTACACAGAGAGGGATTTCCCATCCACTGGCACATTTTCCAAATGGCCACAGTGGCCGGAGCTGAGCCGATCCAAAGCCAGGGGCCAGGCATTTCCTTTGGGCCTCCCAGGGCTTTGGCCCATCCTTCGCTGCTTTCCTAGGTTGTGAGAGGGGAGCTGGACCAGATATAGAGCAGCCTGGAGTAGCAGAACCAACAACCAACAGGATGCCAGCTCTGCAGGCAGACGACTAGTCTGTTGAGCCACTGAGCTGAACTCGGGAGTTTTACTGAGTCACACCGACAGGCTGGGATTAGAACTAGAACTTGAGGCAAAGGGAATGCCTAACACAACGGCAGGCTATTAAAATTTTAGTAGGATGCACGCACACATAAAGGCATTTCAAAAAGTTCATGGAAAACAGAATTGAAAGGTGAGTGTTTATTTTGGTGTTAAAATGTTTGAAATTGGGGCTGGCGCTGTGTGGTACAGCATGTCAAACTGCTCCCTGCAGTGCTGGTATCCCACCTGGGTGCCTCTTCCAACCAAGAGTCACTGCTGCTGCAGTGGGCCCACCTCACCGGTTATGTGCTAGGGAAGGCAGCAGAAGTCGGCCATGTGGGAGACTAGGACAGAGTGCCGATGTCACAGCTTCAGCCTGGCCCGCGCTGGCTGTCGGGGTCATTGGAGAAGTAAAGCAAAGGATGGAAGATTTTACACTCCCCTCGCTATATGTAACTCTGCCTTTCAAATATGTAATCTAAAGAAAATTTTAATTTAAAATCCATGCATTTATTTGTCTTACTGTTCCACTTGCTTTTTAAAATTTGTATTCATTTGAAAGGCAGAGAAACAGAGAAGGCGCTTGCATGCACTAGTTTTCTGCCCTCCATTGCCCACAGCAGTCATTACTGGGTCAGCGTAAAGCCGCTTCCCCCAGAGTCCAATGCGGATCTCCCTTGTCGGGGCTGGGACCCAACTATGACTCAATGCTTCCCGAGTGCACATTAGCAGGAGACAAATCGGAGGTGGACCGAGCTCTTGAGCGCAGATGCTCCAATGTAGGATGCTGGCGTCCCCAGCAGCATCTTAACCGTTGTGCCAAGCCTTCTGGCTTTTCCATCGGTATACAAAAGTCAGAATCCTTCAGGAATCAGCGATGAAGAAGTTAGGAATTAAACCTGATCTGCAGTGTGCTCTGATAGGCAAGCGAGACATCTTAACTAGTACTTTTTAAAGATTTATTTATTCATTCATTCATTTGGAAGGCAAAGAGAGAGAGACAGATCTTCCATCCACCAGTTCAGGGCTGGGCCAGCTCAGAGCCAGGAGGCAGGAACAGTTAGGGTCCCCTGGCGAGCAGTAGGGATCTCATACCTGCGTTATCATTGCTGCCTGGCAGGCGCATCAGATTGGCAGCAGAGGAACCAAGCCCTGGACCATCGCTTCTGTGTGGCAGACGAGTGTCTCCAGCGATAGCTCACACGGCAGTACCACAACACCCACTCCAGTGAGTGTTAGGCTAGCCAGCCACAAAACACACATTTTAAAAAGATCTAGTTCATTCATTTGAAAAGCAGAGTTACAGAGAGAGAGGACTTCATATGCTGGCCGGGAGCGAGTCTCCCACAAGGACACAGGGGTCCAAGCAAAGGTACATTAGCAGGGAACTGGATTGGAAGTAGAACTGCTGGGATTCCAACTGGTCCCCATAAGGGATAGCAATGCTGCCATGCTCGGCCACAGCACCAGTCCCCAAACTCACATTTTAATGAAATGAATTAGTGGGTCCCCAAATAAACTTCTCTGGGTTGCCCTATACTTAAAAATGTCAGCATTTTGTTTTATGATACTGCCACTGTATCAAAATTCCTGTCCAATCAGGCATGATGAATACATTTCAGAGTCATGACTTGCTATCAACCGGAAACCAAGAAATTATATGAAGGGGTATTTCGCTACACTAGACACAGGGCTAGCTGGCGACAAAGCAGCCTGCTCTGCAGCAGCCAGGCCAGCAGGAATGTCTCATTGCATTCCTGAAGATGAGGTCATTGTCTTCACAGCCTCAGGTCCAGCACAGGGGTGGCTGGCCCTGCAGCTCCTCCTCTGCGACCAACCTCACCTAGGAAACTTGCACACTTAGCATGTGTACTAACATCGTGGTGCACTGTGCTGCGAACCACGTGTGTTTACTTTCTATCCAGTATTATGAATCACCCAGTCATGATTTTTAAGTGTATTAGAGAGGTGGTCATTCAGTCTAGCACTTCAGACACTGGTCAGGACACCTGCTTCCTGTGTTGGAGCTCAGTGTGCACCTCCCGCCCCTGGTCAGCCTCCTGCTGAGGCAGTCCCTGGGCGGCAGTGGGCACAGCTCAGGGTACCACAGGACACCTGCTTCCCGTGTTGGAG